GCATGGTGTCGCCGTCTTCGGGCTTTCGGGGAAGTATCTAAGTTGCGGACAGCAGCATGACCAGAGGACCTCCCAGACGTCTTGAACAACTATCCGAACGGCGCCTTTGTCGTCAAGGCACTCCCAGCACAATAATCTGATGTAGACACGTAGAGTCAAACCCTGCGGCATGCTCATCTTGATTAATCCGGATTGTCCGGAATCCTTCCTGCTGGGCCTGATTGTGACTGGGTCTTGAGGAATCTCGTTTGGGAAGCGAGCAGAACCTTGGCCTAACCCCACCAGCTTTTCCTGCAGAGTCAAAGAGCCCCAAGTTTGGATGACGAGCAGAGCTTGGCCTTGCAGTCAGACAGCGAGCTGGACCTGATGTAATCGGCATATAGCTTCCTTTAGGTGTCCACAGAACCTATGTGGCTGCATGGTTTGCTCGCGGTTGTATATCTACCCGAGCATGGCATTCTGAGGGAGCTCATATCTGGGAGGAGTCGTCCACGAGCGGAGATGTCTTCTGTAAGTCTGAAGATATGTCTCGGACGTCAGATCTGCTAGCAATCAAGGCTTTCCGGAGGCCAGTTTTTGGAGTCAAGGTATCCATATAGTGACGCTGTGCGTAAGCAGAAGCGAATCTGTCAGATCGGTAGTGTCGTCACCACTCCTACCAGCTACTAAGCTCACTGGGTCCAGGACCTTTCGTCCGCCTGTCGTATCAGCATTTTGCTGAAAAGAAATACGGTAAGACTTATGAAAGTAGCGAAGGTCCATGTTGTCGCGAGCCTGTAGCCTGGATTCCCGACATGAGAACGAAGGCCGGTGCCCTCGGCTTCAGCGTCCTCCTCTTCAACTGCGTTGGGGTGGTTTGCCTGGCCCGGCCCTCGGCAGGGAGTGTTTGTTTAATGCACGAATGTTGAGCCCTCAACCAGGTTAACCACCGTGCCGTTTGGGTTGGACTAAACTCCCGCTGTGGGATTTAGAGGTGGGGACGCGCTTTCCTTTCAGGAGCCCAGCTGCGTTCAATCTGTAATGCACTAAGAAGTGACGACTCAGCAGATAGACAGACATATAGAAAGAAGGATGGGCCATTAAGTAGGCAGATAGATGGCAGTTTTAGGACGACGGTTAGTCACGAGGATACTGCAGCTGTCTACGCATTATTTCGCAATGCAGCATTCCCTCTGCAGGCGAGGCCGAGTACGTCTTCGGATGTCTTCCGGGTTGGGGACGCGCAGTTGGAACGTAGGAGATCCGTTCTCCGAACCGACAAAGCAAAGCAGCTTGATCCCAAGTTTTCCAGAAAGTCGGTGTCGGCCGCAGGCAAAATCAGGCCAGCTCGTGAGCATCAGCCAAGGGCTTTTCGTCCACGGCATTTTCCGGCGTCGACCGCCCGTCCAAACATCATGAGCATCAGCCGCAGGCCACCACCAGACGGACGGAGCGCAGTGAGTATCAGCCGCAGCTCATTGCGCCGGCTGTCGACCTAGCATCACGAGCATCAGCTTCCAAGGCCGTTCCGGGACTCCGAATTATGTGCGTCAGCCACAAGTCACCCGTCCCGGCACGAGCACTTTGCCACGGCAGTGCCAGTGTCGACAGCGAGACCAAGTATTTTGAGCATCAGCCGCAGGCTGCTCGGCCACGACGGGGGCAGACCAAGCATCATGAGCATCAGCGGCAGGCCGCTCGACCACGGCATTGCCAGTGCCAACAGCCAGACCAGTGATCATGAGCATCAGCGGCAGGCCGCTCGACCACGGCATTGCCAGTGTCGACGCCCAGACTAAGCATCATGAGCATCAACCGCAGCGTTGCCAGATGTTGCCAGTGCCGACAGCCAGACCAAGCATCACGAGCATCAGCTGCACGCCGCGCGACGACGGCATTGATCAGCCGCAGGCCGCCCGATCGTGGCATTGCCAGTGTCCGTCCGCAGCCAGACCAAGCATCATGAGCATCAGCGCAGGGGGCTCGGCCACGGCAGTGCCAGTGTCGACAGCCAGACCGAGCATCATGAGCATCAGCGGCATGCCCATAGATCATGGCATTGCCAGTGTCCACAGCCAGACCAAGCATCATGAGCATCAGTCGCAGGCCGCTTAGCCGCGGCATTGCCCGTACCGATGGCCAGACCAAGCATCATGAGCTTCAGCGGCATGCCCCTCGATCATGTCGACGACCAGACCAAGCAGCATTAGCCGCAGCCCGCTCCATCACAGTATTGCCCATACCAGTCATCATGAGCATCAGCCGCAGTCCGCTCGATCACGGTGTTGCCCAGACCAGTCATGGCATGGCCAGCGTCCACAGCGAGACCAAGTATTGAGCATCAGCCGCAGGGCGCTCGGCCACGGCAGTGCCAGTGTCGACAGCCAGACCGAGCATCATGAGCATCAGCGGCATGCCCCTCGATCATGGCATTGCCAGTGTCCACAGCCAGACCAAGCATCATGAGCATCAGCCGCAGGCCGCCTAGCCGCGGCATTGCCCGTACCGATGGCCAGACCAAGCATCATGAGCTTCAGCGGCATGCCCCTCGATCATGTCGACGACCAGACCAAGCATCATGAGCATTAGCCGCAGCCCGCTCCATCACAGTATTGCCCATACCAGTCATCATGAGCATCAGCCGCAGTCCGCTCGATCACGGTGTTGCCCAGACCAGTCATGGCATTGCCAGTGTCCACAGCCAGACCAAGCATCATGAGCATCAGCGGCAGGCCGCTCGACCACAGCATTGCCAGTGCCAACTGCCAGACCAGTCATCATGAGCATCAGCCGCAGGCCGCTCGATGACGTCATAGTCAGTGTCCAGAGCTAGACTTAGCTAGACCAAGCATCATGAGTATCAGCCACAGCCTTCCAGAGCAAGCATAATATTTATCATTCCGTATGGTCTGAAATTGATGTGATGGCGACAGTTCCAGAGTCGCGAACCAACATCCAAACATCAAGTTACCGTGTGTTGCTCGAATTTCATTTCATTCATTCGGCAAATTTCGGCAAGGTCGTTCTGCGTGTGCGGCGTTTGGCGCTGGGTGGCGAGCTGGGCGGCCCCAAACGTGCAGCTTGGGCGGGGTGCCCCAGGATTCTTCTGCTTGCATAAACCCATATCTAGGATGCATGATGTGTTTCGACAGGCTTCTAAATCCTTAAGCCTTACAGCTCAGAAGAAGCACATGCAATAGATTCGCTAGTTTGAGATGCCATGGTACGACGCATGGGTCGTAATGGAGAGAGAATCCCAGTCACTCAGTCACTTCGCAATGCTCTATGCGAGAGACCTCTCCAGGTCTGCAAGGTTGTAAGGCGTCGTTGACTGTGCTAGGGTTATTGTAATTGGTGGGCTTGCAGAGCAATGCTTGCTGATGGCAAGTGTGGCTGCTGTTTCCGTGGCAAAGTTTTGGGCAAAATGGCTCAGTTCGTATCACTTTTCCATCCACGATGTCGCGTGTACCAAACCCTAAGCTCGGAACGAGATGAAGGCGGACCAGTTGTCGTGGTCGTGGACTCGCGGACCCATGCAAAAGTTGCAAGTTTGAGAGTCGACAGTGAGACTGGCTGCCCCCCAAGCTAGCCTGCGCAGCACGGAAATCCAATGTGCGCTGCACACAGGCCAAGGAGGCACATCTCACCGCCTTGCGGAAGACCTTGCACGTTGCACAGGCTGCTAGCCGAGCCGTTGCAGGCAGAGCAGCACGCCATGGATGATGGATGTCGCAACAGTAATGAAAGCAAAAGCGCAGGGACACGCAGCCGATCTCAAAAGCTTCACGTCCAACCGAAGTTCGCGCATGAGCAACTGCACAAGACTGTCGAGGGAGCGATTGCCTTTGCATGGGACGTTATGACTACTGCAGTGAAGGTAAGAGACGTCACGGGATGAGCGGCCCTGGTATCGCATAGGGGACGAGGTGAAACAATTCAGCGATGCGGGCTTTCGTGGCCAAACTTGGTTGGGGGGGAAGTCTGGAGGGCAGTGTGTGGAGGTGATTTGCACAGTTAGCATGGCACTCTTCACGGAGCAATCTGTTGTCGACTTCTTCTTCGCGCCAAGTGCCGGGGCATGCTGTCCGTTGGATTCCACTGGCATAGGCTGTCAGGAAGCGTGCAATAATGCTGAAATTCTGGATTCGCTGGCATAATGTGAGGAAGCGTTCAATAATGCCGAAATTCTGGATTCGCTGGCATAGGCTATGCGGAAGCGTTCAATAATGCTGAAATTCTGGATTCGCTGGCATAGGCTGTGAGGAAGCGTTCAATAATGCTGAAATTCTGGATCCAGTTCGGCGCTTGCTTTGTGGCGTGGGTATATGATGCCACACGCTTTCCTTTGCTACGGCGGTACTTCCGGCATGCTCCAACCAGCAACAGAGATTCGAAGCTGCTAGATTTGCTCCCAAGCGCCTGACCAAATTGAGTTGTTGTGGTTAGACCATTTGCAAGAACACAATGCTTCATTTTTTAATTCGGAAAAAACGTTCGCAGCATAATCCGGTGTCCAGGAAAGGCTACGTGGTTGGGGCGCTGGGCAGTACACGACGTCGTCTTGTCGTTCTTGCCTTCCGATCTGAAAATGCCTCGGCTGATCTGTCTGCAAATGACAGTCGAAAGCCATGATGTGTGAGAGCCAAACACCTTGCAGCCTGTAGTAGCACTGTTGAAAGACTTGCATTGTTGGATGGTGCAAAATGGAGCTGCAGTCATCCTCAGCCGTCTGTCCCCTCGGAGGATGAGCTCCTGCACATCGTTGGGCCATGCTAGTACAATGATGAATCGAAATGAATGGCGCTCTACTTGCGGTGTTTGAAGCTTTGTTAACATGTTGGTCCATGTAGATGGTGTTGAAATGCTTCGAAGCCCTGAAAGCCCGAAACCGTCGAGCCTGAAACCCCTTAAACCTTGCATGAACCCCCTGTACACTAAAACTGCGCGCTGCGCGGACGCACAGTCCTGAGCCGTTTGAAGTCTGGAAGGAAGCTTCGGAGATCGAAACCCCAAAGCTGCAGGGCTCCTCCATTACGCTCTTTACTCTTTGGGCCGTCTACATCGCTTCGTCCATCTGGAGGCACGAAAGGGCTCTGAGCTTGAAGGGGTCTTGGATTGGCTTGAGGAGTTTGAGCGGTTTCGCTCTTTCGGGAGTGGCCCTCCCTGAACCCTGAACCCTACGTCCGAAGGCTTCAGCTTTTGAGTAGCAGTTGTGATTCGTTTCTTCACGAGGTTATCATCCTTATAGTTGTGCCCATCGACATCATTTGCTCTCACACATGCTGTCGGAGAGAAGCCCTCGAAACTTAGCTTATCAAGTGCCATGCTGTTTATGCCCAAAAGGGCGTTTCCTGTGTCGCCCTTTCGTCTCACGAAGCCCGTCGAGCCAGGATCCCCCAAGCCCGCAACCGCAAGTCGCTCAACGGGTCTGTCTGCAAGTTTTGAGCCCCCAGACTTCGCAACCCAGATACGAGGGGTCTCTTCCGCCTGCACCGGCAGGAATTCGTCCGAAGATGCGGAGGTTGGAAAGTATACACATGAATATATAGCACAAAATAAGATGACATGATACTACGAGCACAACACAAACTTACATAGGTTCAATAGAACTTGAGAGAGCATAGACGGCGGTTACGGATGCGGGAGCATGTGCACAAACCATCGACGACTAGACAAATGAGTAAGCATAATAAGCGCATGCATACATGTGTATCCAGAGCTACTATCTGTCGTTGTATATCTATACGTGTGTGTGTGTGTATTCTTATACGCATTTATAATTACATACATATTTCATTACATGATGCTATACAAATGTATATACTATATGCACAAATACTCCTGCACGCACACACACACACGCACACACACACACACACACGCGCGCGCACACACTTACGTAAATGTATCTGATATGGTCTGATATGGGTTGGGTTCCTCTCGGAGTCACGCTTAACTTCGCCAGCATTCACAAGAAGCCGCTATCAAGGTTTGACGCCGCATTCAGAAGATTCGAAAAATCAGCGGGGAACCCTCGTGATTATATGGACCCCCCCATGCTGCGATGCACAGAGCTTGAGGTTCAGGGCGTGAGGAGGATGCAGGTCACCTCCGCGACATGTGGGTATTCGACAGGAGTACTGTAATGTCTGACCTCAAAGCCTATCATCTTCATCTTCCCAGCTCGAGTACTGATATATACAGCAAGTAAAGGAAGGACGCCAACGTAGGGCTGAGAAGACCCTCATTTTGCCAGTGACTAGGTCATGGTGATTCCGTGTGCCTTGCTGGCGGTCCTCGCTGTGATTGGCCAGGCTCTCGGAACGGCTTGCCCGTTGTTCTGCATCAGTTCTGCATCAGCTCGATGGTTTGAAGCCTTGTCGCTGACATGGAACTTTCCAAATGCTGGGGGTTCCATTTCTCGCGGTCTTTACATGATTGTGCAACTAGAGGGGCTGTGGGGTAGGGTCGGGCACCGTGTTTTTACTGATGTTCCTGTATGAGAGCAAGTCTGCTGTATTTCGGCGGGTTCTACGATGTGCTACCCGGCATACAGCATATGCTCCAATGCCCATCATGGTGCCTTTCACGGTCACTATACTGTGATACATTGTCGTGACGCCTTCTGGGTTTCATGTATGCATGCGGGATACATGCGGGTGTACATATCACGTACTGTAACATGAATGCGTGCATGCATGGAAGTATGCATGCCTGCATGCCCAAATCCATCCATACGCAAACACAAGAAACTTTACGTGCAGTCTGCTAGTGGATCTCAGTCAGTCCCGTCACTGAGTCAACCCTGTCCAGCTCCAGCGTTCCCATATTCTAAATAGGGTCGCATATTGATCTACAAGTTTTCCAACATCACGCGAGGGAACCTGAAATAGAACGGCTTCCATGACTACTCAAGTCAATCCCATTACTTCCAACAGTTAGAGAGTCCAAGCAAAAGCAAAGCCCCAGGATGCTTCGTGATTCCTGCTAAGGCGGTGTCGCCTTCGAGCTGTCGGGCAAGTTCCGGTATGACCCGGCGGCAGCGGAGGACTAGTGTGTTGCGGTGCAGAACTGAGGGAAACCCAACCCAATTTTTTCTGAAACCCAAACCGTCACTGGTAACCTCCAGGCAATGGTACAGAGGGGTCGATGAATAGCAAGACGAGAACAAACCCCCTGATCAGGATCACCAGTCCTCCTAAGCCAGGCCCGGATCGGACGCAGGCCACAAACTCGAAGCTTGGAGGCCCCACATCCTCATAGCAACAGCAATGATGATGACAGCAACCGTGTTGGTCATGACATCACTGAGGGCCAGGATATGATGGCAATCTCAATGGTCGAGATGGGAAGAGTAGCTGAGTAGCAGGGAGAACAGCAGTAGTCACAACAGTAGAAAGCAGCAATAAAAGGAAACCTGACAATAATGTAGGTTACTCTCTCTTGATATCCTAGAAGTGTCACCGTCCTCACCATCATCAGCTATTGTGGAGGAGGAGGACAGGCAGGGATCCTAGCAACACTGAGCATGGAGCCTACAGCCAACTGCAACAAATTCAACCGAGCGGCACCAATCACGGCAACAGCAATCGCAGCCTGAACGCAACAGAATAAGCAGAAGAGCACACCCAAGGAGATACATACATCTAGCTCCCCTTGAATTCCTCCCAGACCCCTTTCACACCAAAACGCCTTGACGCCCTTAAACCAGCAGCTCCAGGAGGAAAAGACAGCCCGCCAGGAGCACTTGCGAGGGCAGGGAAGTAAGGATTTAAGGCAAGGGCTGCGGGCATCATCTGAATGGATCCGACGAAATCTACGGACACATGGACCTGTGGAGATTGGGCTTGGGGAGTGGTTTGGGGATGGTTTCGGGTTGGCGATGGAGATTTCTGGATGATAAAGGGATGTTTTGAGTCCCCTTGCACCGTCTCGGCTCCGCAGGCAAGCGGTCGGGCTGAGGGCTTTGCGGTTTCAGGCTTTAGGCCTTATGTGCAAAGTAGGGGGTTTTGGGCAATGACGGGTCAGGATTCTTGGGATTGGGTCTGGTCATGTCTGGTCGGTGCACAAGTGCATCCGAACTGCTAAAGATGGCAGACCGACCGAGGGTTCCTTGCGCTTCCGTCTAGTTCATATAGAGTCATAGTCGCTTTGTGACTAGTGTACATTATACGCCGACAAGCCTGGTGCAACATGTGTTGCTGTGCCTGTTGTCATGCAGGAGGCTGGAAAGGACAACGGCCCCACGGTGATCTTGAATGTCGAGGAACATTGCCATCCGGTTCCGGGGTGGGAGGATGTTGAGCCCAGAACCTCAAGCACTTTGCAAACACTGCACTCCGTGAAAAATCCGTCGCCCTGGAAGCCTGAAGCTGCGAGTCGACGAGTCGATTTGGTTTCCTGAGTTGATGCGCCCGCACTTTGAGAGCAATCGAATTCCTTGTAAAACGATAAGAGTAGCAAAGAACGATTACGAATGTTCGTAACATTAGCTCAGATCATACAGTCCCAAAGTCCTGGAAATCGATAAAAGTAAATAAAACGATAACCATGTTAAGGGTCAAGCACATGGGAAGTTTTTTTTTCACGTTCCCTCATTTGTAGATTGTGGTCGGGATTCAAGACGACGGTTTCGGTCTTCGGAGTTCATAGCTTGGTCGAACTTCAAAACGCCAGAACACCGTCAATGACTAGCTGCTGCGTCGCCGCCATCATCATCACCATCGTCGTCGTCGTCATCGCCAATGTCATCATCGTCACTGTCATCGTCACCGCCATTGTCATCGTCATCATCATGCGGGTGTTCTTGGCCATGGCTTCTCTTACTGCGAGATCATCCCCCCGTCACTACCCACCTCCACCGTGTCAGGCTGCCATGTTTGTCATTATCCCCGCGAACACAATTCCCCCTCACCCCCGCCGCCCCAATCCCCCCGCCACACCCCTACCCCACCAGCAACAGTGGTGCTAAGGAGCAGTCGTTGGCAGGGGGGGGGGGGGCTGCTACTGCTTCTGCTGCTACTGCCTTCCAAAACCACCGCCATGTCCTGCTCCCTGATTCACCGCAGAGGACAATGGCAAGCTGGATGCGAAGAACGTCGATGCTGGCCTTGAGCCGAAGATGCCGGGGCCTTTCGAGCTCCACATGGGGGATCAGGGTTCAGAATTCAGAATTTAGGATGCGCAGCGAATCTCTGGGTGGAGGTTTGCACGTGCAAGGTCAAGATATTTCGACATGCCGTTTGCGGCTGTTTGTGGTACTCAAAGGTTGGGGTTCTGGGGTTCAGGGTCTAAGGGTACGAAGCTTCAAGGATTTGAGGGGTTTGGAGTTTGGGGTTCCAGGGTTAGATTGCAGGCTACGGCATGGTAATGGTACGGTCTCCGTCCGAAAGCCTAAACCCTAAACCTTAAGCTCAGGCGAGAGTATGAGTGGAAAATCCGACGAGGGTGAGAAGGGGGTTGGTCAGCCAATCATGGAGAAGGGGCACGAGAGTGAAAGAGATGAGTGATGTGATGGCATAGTGTTTTGCAGTGGCATGGTGAAAGCAGCTATGCCTTGCTGAAGGAGCCGAGGTACCCGGTACCAGCCTGCCTCCTGTAGGCTCTCCGACTCTTTGCGGGGACGGAAAAAGGCCCTTTAAAAAAAAGCCTTAAGCTCAATACCCAAGAGAACGCGAACCCACACTCGAAGCCCCAAAGCCCCAAAGCCCAAAGCCTAAACCCCAAACCGCTAGACTGAGTTCGTGGCAGGATCGGCGCATCGGAGGACATGATCGTGCCCAAGGAGGCGCTGGAGCCTCAAAGGGTGGGCAAACCGCGACGCAGGGCTTCAGGTCTGAGGCTTGGTAGGCCCGGCGTGTAGGGGGAAGGGCAGTCATCGGTCCCTTGACTCTTGCAGACGCAAGCCGAAAGCCACTAGGTTTGGAACGCAGTTTCAGATTGATGTCCACCCTAAGCTAAGCACAGAAGATGTGAGGCTAGTGCTTTGCAGCCGGGAACGGACAACGCTCTCGCGATCCTAAGCTCTCACTGCTGCGTGCTGTCGCTGTTATTTGCATAGCTTGTGCCTATCACGACGTTTGGAATTCAGTGCCTGAAGTCCTAAATTCCAAGCCATCCTCCCTTATGACCAGCTACTGTTACCACTACGAGGACGAAGACGACGACTACTGCTGCTACTACGACGACGACGACTACTACTCCTGCTGCTGCTGCTGCTGCTACTACTACTACGACTGCCACTACTACTAATTACTACTACCACCACTACCACTTCTGCTGCTACTGCCACTGCCACTGC